CATGTATGTAAGACCTGATTTTTCTCCTTTTATATGTATGTATGTATATGACTGTGCATGTATGTATGTATATATCCACGTATGTATGCATATAAGAACTAATTTTTCTCTTTTGGTAGTTAATTCTAAGATCCAATTCACAGGTTTCACTTTATAATTTGCAAGTTCTATAATATTTACACTCTCACACATCTATTATCCCTTTCTTAGTTGTTGTTCCTGAACTTCATCTCTTTTAGATCTGGTTCCATTTGATAATAAAATTTGTAATGGCTATTATTTATTGATGTGTTATGCTTGCCAACAGTTTTTTACTTGATTTGTTTTGTTCATTCTTGAATAAGCAATGATTCTTTCTCTAACTTTTTTACTAGTAAATAAATTTGAGAATTATATAATTGTTATGTCATTGAGTGGTTTATACTTGGTTTAAAATTAGGTATGGATTTCTGTCAATTATTCAGTAATCAATATGGATTACTTGTATAATTTACTTCTGAAATGATCAGGTTGTTTTTTTCACATTTTGGTTTGAAATTTTGAATTGCAAGTGACAAATTTTATTTTTCCTGTTTTTGAATTTTGATGATATTTTTGTTTTTCTAGAGTGCACGTGGCGGAAGGGATCGTTCACAGAGTGAGTATACACCAAGGTTTGAAGAGCGGGAAAGTTTTGGTTCAGGCACAAGAGGTGGTCTAAATGATACAGGAACGTCTCGGCATCTTTGGGTTGGGAACATATCTCGCCATGTGACCGAGAATGCTTTAGCGGAACAATTTTCTCGGTTTGGCGAGTTGGAGAGTATTGCTATGTACCCCGAACGCAACTATGCTTTTGTTAACTTCAGGAGAGAAGAAGATGCGGCACTTGCCTTAAGAGGCCTTCAGGGGTTTCTCATTGGCAACTTGGCAATGAAAATAGAATTCGCAAAGGGGGTTAGTTTTGATATGTTTGTCCTTGTTTTGATGTATGGCTATCTTACATCACTTGTACGGTTGTTCCTTAGGCTTCTTTGCTTTAGCTTATTTGTTGGTTCCTGCTTTATTCATGATCCAACCTTTTTTGCCTGGATAGCACATTCAAAGACGCAACTCGCATTTCATCTTTAATTTAGTGTATTAATAACACATCGGAATGCATACTGAGCAACTCGTAGATGTAAAGGACAATCTGATGAGATTTTGAAACATAAAGGAATGATGTAATGCATGAATTAGAACTGAAATTTACTCAGCAACCATAACAGATTTTCACAGTAATTGCAGATGACAGCATAACATTCATGGTGGGTTACTGGCTTGGTCATTTTCAATAATGTCTTCTGCGGTTTCATGGATTAATCTCTTTTGAAGTTACTAGTTCAAACAACATAACATGTCTTGTATAAGTTTTGATGCTAAGTGCGAACTAACTATCCCTAGCATGTGGTATCAAAGATGAATGTCAATCAAACACAATGAAGTGTGCCCAGATTCCAATTTTAACTGTTAACAAATTTAAATTCAATAGAATCTGAGCAATAGTGCACACTGATGTTACATATTTGTTCACTTTGTTTCTTATTATTTAGATTAAATTTTTAGCCGACTAACATGACAATGCTCCTATCCAAAATGTCATGTTTCACCAATGTAACAATCTATCCGAGGTTAATGCATGAGAAAAGCTTTAGAGTTTTAAACTTTCTGGAGTGTTAAGCTTATTTGTGTGATGAGCACAAGAAAATCTGGCAAAAGCTTGAGGATAAAGAACATTAGTGGCATGAGCACGCCACAAGCATTTGTACTGCACCAAGACTTTTGATGACTGCTTCATACTTAATGAATTTGGTTAAAAAGGAAATTTACTTTCTATAGATTGCATACAGATTGCAGAAAAATGGGGCATATATTTCCCAGAAAATGGGTTGAGTACGAAATGAAGATCTTGCATTTTCTTTGACACATGAAGGATTTATTACTGTATTTTACTATAGCACCAGCAACATGGATTGGACCTCCCCTCATGCAATGGAATGGTTAAACTTATTATAATGATTGGGTAAACATGTTATTTCAGAGAGTTATATTTGCAACATGGACACAAGCACTTATAAAACAAGTATGGAAGAATCCAATCACTTCTGACTTGATATGGTGTGGGTGTATAGAAACATTTTATGTGGTTTCATTGGACAACGTGGGCGGATTACATTGCAGATTATAGTTCACTATTTTCTCAACAACGTGTAACTATGTATCAAATGTCATTAACATCATGCATCAGATGGCATGAAGTGGTCTTACTTTCTTACAAGTCACTGCATTTAGCGAAACATTATATGTCACCTTTAAGAGTGGCTAATGATCCCACACCTCTCCATATTACAAACCATGCTTATATTCCCAGGTTATGATCACAGTGGAATCATCAGATACGCTATTCAAATCCTGCATATTAAAAAAGAAATGTGCCATTAAATTAAAGCTCATCTTTTTAATGCTTATGCTTCTCCATTCTCATAATGACCTTCTAATGGGGTCACGACGATTAGATTGTTCCCATTCCAGAAAGATGTTCTTATGTGGATCTACTTGTCTATTAATAATCAGCTGGTGGGTTCATCACATAATGATCACAGTAACTTGTTACATGGTCTTAAGAACCTCATCTTACATTATTGGATATGTTGACATGTTCTTTCAGTTCGCCTCAAATACAATTCACAGACATGGAGTTAGTTTATGTAATTTCAGCTGGGCTTAAAGCTCATTTTTTTCAGTAGGGCTCCACACGATCTGCAGAAGTTTTTTTTTTCAACAGGATTAAAGCTCATTTTGATTGGATTCATAACACACTTCCTTGCTTTGGCATATAGGCGTTGGTCCTTATCCATCATGTGCTGCTGCTGTGCACTCCGATGTCCAAGTGCTTATGTCATTAACTTTTAGAAATAAATTACTGATGGTAAAATTACTATTAAAATAAATGAAAATAAGTACATGAACAAGAAGACAACTCTAGATGGATTCTCAGTGATTCAAGTGGCCTCTATAACCAACTATCCTAACAGTGGTTTTTTAATGAAAGAACAATGGAAATCAACAATTTCTCACATGATACACTTTGATTGATGAAGGCACCAGTCTCTACATTTGCTTCCCTCAAAGTATAATGAAAGGAAAGGATTGGGAAAAGGGTGGTATCCACAACCTCTCGCTGAATATCATAGCGAGACTCTCGGGAGAATGCTAGACCACTCGGTAACATTGAGGCTGTTACTATCAACTATAATTTGGGTCTCATTTCTTATGGGCATAACCTTAGACCCGAAGTGAAGCTCTTGCCTCCACCAAGGAAGTATTACAGAAGTCTATCGGGACTGAATAATCCAACAACATATTTCGTTTTGCCTCTTCAATAAATTACCAATCCCCCCCCCAGCCTTTTGGATTAATTACTTTGAAGAGAAAAGCCATGACATTTGATGATACGGAATCCATGGTTGTTGTCTAGAGGAGAGTATCTGATGGTGTGCTTTGTTCAACTATCATTTTAGAATACAGTTGTCTAAAGCAAAGTTGATGTGTTAACTGGAATCCAACAATGATGAGCCTTATGTGATGCAGATGATTTGCTGTTATTATTCAATCGTCGAATGTTTTACCACATGAAGGAGTTCAGCCTGTTGACTCCTATGGCCTTGTTTTGCATTTATATCTGACTAAGCAGGTCTTTGGTATGTGAGAACCTTCTACGCTATAAAAATGGTTATTGTTTTCTCCAACAAATAACTTAATTTTAAGTGACTATGGTCCATTCAAATAATGTTTGAGCATGGTGGTCCTATCAACTTCCTGTATGGGATCTAGTAACATGTTGCATTTGTAATGGGAAAAAAATGGTTTTCTTTCTCTTTGAGCACTAATTAATTTTTAAGTGTTTATGGTTAGATTATCTTTATGGTGTTTCTGTAGCATCAGCTCTCTTTATGGGATCTTGTAATGGCACTGTTGGATTCCCCTGGTCATTTGAGGTAAAATTAATACAATTTATACTAGAAGGCATACTTTGGATTTAATGTTTGAGTCTTTGCGTTGGGGCAGAAAATGACACAATAAGTGAATTGTTGCATTGTGCTTTCTAGAAGAGTTTGGGAGGATGGTTGGTGCCTCTTTAGAGTCCATAGACTGGAGAAAAAGGGCATTGGGTAGGAGTTCCCTCTCTGAAGGATTGAGTTGCGTGGAGATGAAAGCAAGGGAGATGCATGGAGTTTATTACCTTTCAATTGTGGAAATTTTGAAGGGAAATAACTTAATGGCATTTAAAAGAATTAATACTCTTCTGTGAAATTGACCAAGAGGGGAAGACAATCGAATGACCAGTACGTTTTTGTTTATTGGTAGGCTAAAAAACGGAAGATTGTTCTTGATTGGTCTTTTGGGTTCATTCGTAATCCTGGAGATTTGGAGCCCTTGGGCAATTGGCTATATCAAGCCCTGCGGTGATGATGCAAGCAAAAGAATCATGGTCTCAAGAGGATTGGGGGAGACTCTAAATACAAGGACATGGTCTGCAACTTAGTTTGTGGAAATGTCTTCCATTGCATTTTGCATGTGTATATTGGCATGTAATTGCATGCTGCATGCACGTATTTTTTGGGAACCTAAATATTATGTCCCTGTCTTGATGGTTTTGTGAATATACTAATAAATTTCAAGTACTTATATTCTTTTATGAAATTTGTTTTTTTTTTTGGGGGAGACGGGGGGGATTTGGAATGATGCTTTCTCTAAAGCTTTAAACGTGATGTTTTCTGAGCTGATTTATGTCTTTGTATAGTTTTGACATTTACAGGATTAATAAATTAGCTATATTCTATGTGTTCCAAGAAAGATTATAAATCTTGTCTAATGCATCAGCACCACTGCCTCCGATTTTTTTTCTCGGTTAACTTAGAACTCAACATAAATAACTATGGATCTGAATTTTCACCGCATAGATTAAAAGGAAATAACCTTTAGCATTTTCCATAGAAAGTGTTCTTAGCTTTAATGAGCATATTAGATTAGAAAGAAGCAGCATGGAATACCAAATTTTCAAGGTATTGCAGTCCCATTTTTTTCTCAGAGCTAACCAACATATCTAGTGGTATATGGATTGTAGCACACATGTTTCACGATACATACACATTGATATTGGATAGGTTATAAAACATTTACTTGTAAATGCTATACATCAAACTTGCCTTGGATGCAGACAAATGGAGACATATGTACAGGTAGATTAACCAGGTGAGAGAGATACTCTAAACTGCTGAGCAATTAAAAAGAGAAAAAAAAAAAGAAAAAAAGAAAAAAAGAAAAAAGAGAGAGATACTTCAAACTCCCAGGAATCTCTACATACACCTATCCTGGTTATTTCATAGCATTCCCCTGTGAAGGATTGCTCCTGCACCACTATAGGGGCCTATGAGCAATTTAACAACACTGGTCTGGGTCAATCAGTCTGCCTGGGAACTGGGCCTAAATGCAGTCAATTTGGATGGTGGGAACCCAGTTCCCATTGTTGCATGTTAACCTGTATCATAGGGAGGAATGTATGCACAATAAGCTCTACGATAAGATATTAATACATGGAATTTTTAAATGGCATTGCAATAAAAGGCTGAATTTTCTGGCCATTATTACAGTGGAGACAGACCTTTCTTAATTTACATATAGAAAAAGGTTATTATTAAGGATACATAATGGAAGAACTACAGATGTTTGAGCTTTGGAATTACTAAATATGCTTTAAATAACTTTGAAATAGGATGAAAAATGTTGAAAGGCTCACCAGCTACTTGAATCAGTTCATGGATAGATCAACTGGCTTGTGAGAATCCAAGAACCTTTGACTTGGTATCTTTCCTTGTGTGAAATGGCATGGTGCCAGGTTCAGCAGCTAGCTTTTTGGGTCTACGATCTCAAGTATTGAATGTCTACAAATACTGAAGATTGAAAGATATATGCAATTCTGCACATTCTGGTCTTTCTAGTGCAAAAAACAAGGGCACTTTGCATGCTTGATGCTGAACCCAGTCAGAAGCCCTTGTTCTGTGTCTTATTTCTTCTTTTGAGAAGTGACAGTATAGTTAGAAAAGCAAGTATAAATATCTGGTGATGGGATTAAAATTCATGTATTGAATTACCTACCTCTTAATTGGATTAACAAACATGAGTATTAGCTGAACTATCCACCATATCAGTGACATTATTATGGAGTTGCCTTTGCAAATGGGGTTTGATGGGGTTTAAAATTATAAATAAAGCTCCATCATTAGAAGCTTTGAAGACCTATTGGTTGCAAAAAGATAACATCACCAACATCTATTTCATTTCATGAATTAAATTCTTTGTAAGAAAACAACATCATCAAGCATTGAAGCATTAAACTAAAGTCTTTTCTTTTCTATAATGCTTTGTGCGTGAATTATTCTTAGACTTGAACTAAGCATATTCTTTATCATTATTCAACATCAAAACCAAGATGATGATTGGCAACAGGCAGTGATACTTTTTCTTGTTTCTTTTCCTTTTTTTCTCCTTAATTAGGATATTTGTTGAAGCATTTTCTGCAGGTTCACCTTGAATGCTTGCTTTGTGGAAAGACAAGATTGATGTATATAGCAGCTCCATTAAAACAGTTGGTACCATTATGTGTTTGCTAACACAAATTTCATTTCCTTCAATTTTAAAAAAGGTATGTGCATGTCAATGAAGTGCTCTTCATTACTAACCTGCAAAATTGAGTAAATACAGTGAAACCGATTTGGATGTTCAATTTTTGAAGGTTTGGTAATATGAGGGCTAGATTGGAGTATTGTGACATCAGTTGTTTGGAATGGGTTATATTTAACCTGAGAAATAAAAATACGGACTTACAATTACTATCATTTAACAGCTTGGGACTTGGGAATGTTTTTCTGGGTTCTCTAGTCTTCAACCATACTGCCTGTAAAATTGCATTCGCAATAGGCAAGTAGACAACTGCCAGCATCAGATTTATATTGGCTTATATGAATTCTATGGAAAAATCTTAATTATTTCAGACCAATTGTGTTAAGGTAGCAGGAAATTATGAATACCCCTTGCCGTGGGCTATTTGCAAGGTATTTAAGAAATTTTCATTTTTATATGAAGTGATAATGCTTGACTATATATAATAAGCAAGAGAATAGAAACGATAAGATCAGCACCTTCTGTGGCATCAAATCCTATAACCCACGGTATTCTTGGTGACATCCATATTTGCTGACATTTCAACCACCATTTTGCCTCCTTGGGATTGTGATTCATTTGCAAAATACAAAGTGTTTGACAGGAGATCATTAATATCTCAAAAGACTCCATATAGCCTTATGAATAGGTGAACGAATCATTTAACCTCTTGAATGGGAGCGAATCCAGGAAGCACTGCTAATTGAAAAATAACAGTCTGGAGATTGGTTGATTATGCCCTGAACTGTTAGTCATGTGATCAGGTCATACATGGTACTGATTAAGTAATTGAATTAATTATTGATCTGGGATAGCTGATCCATCACATTTAAACGTCAGCGATGATATATGGAATGGGAATTGCCAAACTGTGTTCTCATTCTGCTCTCTGACAATCATGAAGCAATCCATTCTATAAAAGCTGTAGCATAGGTCCTTCATTTATTTGGTGTATTTTGGGATCATGTCGGACTCAATTTGTTCATCATTGATTCATATGTAACCCCAAAGTTTAATTTTTGACTTAACTAACCATGGGTTACCGTTACATGAAGCATCTAAGGAAAATATGAGTTTGGGATGTTGGTTTACAATAACAAGTCCTTATAGAACTGGGAACCACAGGGTTGAGTGCTTGCTTCTGGTTAAGGCACTTGATGCTGATTTCAAATGGCTACATCACCCTATTTACTTTGAGGTTCCTGTGCAGCTTATTGGACATTTGCTTGGATGTTTTTGTCAAATCAAGGAGGTTTGACCTATTTCTTCTATTTGGATTGGAACTAGATCAAATTATAAATGATTGTGGGATTCAAGCCACTTGCCAAGTTTTGTCTATTTCTGCTTGATTTAGGATTAAAATGGGTAGGCAATGCCTAACAAACTTCGTTCTTAAGTAACTGTTTTGTCATATTTGTCCGCTCTTTCTGAGTTTTCTAGAATTTTCTTTCCGGTGTTTGCTTTGAAGCTTTTTGTTGAGTGAGGGCTAAAGCTTGGCTCTAGATATGAATACCATGTAGGCATTGTTTGAGGATATATTGAGTTCCTCGCGATGGGGTTTGTCTGTAGTAAGTTAGTTACTTTGGGTCATGGTTGCTAAGAACTTCTCCAATCTATTTATTTGTTATGGTTTATGAATAATTTCTTGCTGCTAACTGGTTAGATTGTGTTGTCCTTTGCATATACCACAACTAAACTTAATGTTACTTTTACTCTTCATTATCCCTCCTGATTTACCCAAAAATTTTTTTTAAAAAAAGCTTCATGCTACTTTTGTTGCTTGGATAGGCCAAACCCAGTCGGTGCTTATATGTCACTGGTATCTGTCCGTCTGTGTCTGCTGAAGAATTGGAGGCAAAATTTTGTAGATTTGGAAACCTTGAAGCTTTCAAGCTTGATCAGGAACGAGGCATGGCTTTTGTGGATTTTGAAAGGACCGATGCGGCCGTTGCTGCAATCGCAAGTTTAAATAGGAGGAGGATAGGAAGACAGGAACTTAGAATTGATTTTGTCAAGCCTCAATCAGAAAAGCAGGTAATTGCAAGAACAATGTAAGATTCAGAAAGTTATTCCCAGTGAGCCAGTGTACTATCTATTTAGAAGATGAATAGATTTTCTTGGTTTATGCTGGCCCAATAATTAGATAAAGTAATAATGCCACATAAAGTAATTGTGGAATAAGCTATTTGTAAATCAGTGGTAGTAGTTTGTATCTCAAGAACCAGCTGCCTTCAAAGTCTTCAGCTGCTAAATCGTAGCTCAATCTTACCACTTAGGTTATCCCGAAGGTCCTCTTTTAGTTCTGGTGCTTATTATTCAAGGCTTAAACTGAGTTGCCCAAAATCAGATTTTAACCCTTTGTCATGGCTTACGGCACACTGACTCTGTTGTTGCTCTATTTGACACATTGAAGCTGCTTAGGGACAACTTGTAACCACCCACCATTTTTTCCAATTTCCTGTGGTCCTACATTATGTATGGCACTGAAGGGAAGGCATACTATCATCCAATGGTCTATGGAAATCATGGGCCATGGAGGTCACAGCTATCAAATGAAATGGACAATGATAGAGTGGATCCAACCATTGGGTTCATATCCTGATCTGATGGGTGCCCCTGCCCATCATGATCCATCATTTTGTTGGACAGTGATGACCTCAATGGATCATGGGGATAGCATGGTCCTCTGGATCATAGTTAAATTTCCCTAATCTGAATCATGTTGAATGCAAGTGGGTACTACTGGCTTCATAAGATCATAATGAGTTTCTATTGCAGGAAAGATCGTTATCTTCGTTTTCAAGGGGTGATGAATATCTTCCAAATAGAATGGAACACCACTCTTCAGAAATGAGGGACTTAAGTTTAAGAAATCCATCAATGCTTGGAAACCGTTCTGGGCCTCCTTCTGACAAGTATCGAGGTGATAAAAGTGAAGATCCCAGTGAAGTTCTTTGGATCGGTTTTCCATCCCATTTTAACATTGATGAAATGATATTAAGACGTGCATTTTCACCTTATGGTGAGATTGAGAAGGTCACAACTTTTCCTGGTCGCAGTTATGCTTTTGTGCAGTATCGAAGCATTGCAGCAGCATGTAGAGCCAAGGAAGATCTCCATGGTAAATTGTTTAACGACCCACGTGTGCATATCTGTTTCGCGAAGAGTGAAATTGGGCCAATTGAACATGCAAAAAAGTCAACCAGTGCTCCTTTGCCACCAGCAAACAAATCTTATGGCAATTCTGGACCTAGTGGAAGGCTCATCGAAAACCCCCACCATGATAGAAATTTTTGGCCTTCTTCAAATGGGGATTTTCGTACACCAAGTCCTCGAGTTTCTAGTTTTGAGAAGATTAGGCCTGTTGGTTCAGCATCCAGTGCTGGTTTTGCCTTTGAACAGAACAGGCTGCGAAGGTTTGAATCTGATAAAGGAAAGGCAGAAGATGCATATGAACCTCCTGATAGAAGACCCCAAAGCAATTCACGTTTTGAGGACTCCTGGGACTTGCCTGATGTCGATGTTCTTTTACGAGAAACAAAGAAGCCAAGGGCTGGTTCCTTGCTGCATGAAAAAGAACTTCCAGAATATCCTTTTACTGATATAGGCCCAAAGAAGATGCAATTTGGTCCTCGACAGTACTTTCCTGCTTTGTCTGGGCATGAAGGCTTTGACAAGAAGTTGGAATTGGGTTATTTTGGAACTAAACATGGTGAGGGGCATTCAGAGAATATGAACCGGCCATCTTTGGAGAGAGACGAACATTGGCGTAATCATGATAATTTTGAAGCACGATCTAGTCCTATGACTTTGAAACCTGCTCAGCATGACCAACTCACTCCTGATGCACACCAATCCCCTTTGGACGAGGCGTGGAAGTGGAATGGTACAATTGCAAAGGGAGGGACTCCTGTTTGTCGAGCTCGTTGCTTCCCAGTTGGAAGAGCCCTTGATGTGATGCTGTATGTTCCTCTCTCTGTCATTCATTCATTTCTCAATATGCGTATCTCCCACTCTCTCTTGCTCAGAGATATACTGAACTATTGAAATTCGAAAAGCTGAGTAGATAAAGTGCGTATACACACTCACACACACATTATAATTTTCTTCTACTTCAGTGATTGTTTTCCATCAGGAACTTAAATGCTTCTATTTGACACTCTTTTTAACTTATCTTTTTTCCAGTGATATTAGGATTTTATTTGATGTATATTTCTTCCCATAGTTTCCTTTCAGGATACAAATGACAAGACTCTCTTTTAGTTTAGAAATATAGCTAAAGGACCCCATATTATTTCAATAGACATAACAATGTGAATAAAAATTCCATTCTTTCGAAGTAGTAAACACTCATACAAGTTCTTATTAGACCTAAGTTCTATTTTTTTATATCTTGGGTACAGACTCATAGTCCGAAATTGGTTTAGTCTTGCATTTATTGAATACAAACATCAATAAATTTCTGCATTTGGAAATTTTAATCAGCTTGTAATTGAACTACTGCAGGCCTGAGTATTTGAATTGCACGGCAAGAACAGGCCTTGATATGCTTGCGAAACACTTCTATCAGGCTGCTAGTGTTGGAGTGGTCTTCTTTGTGCCAGAAAGCGATGGGGATATCATGCTCTATAATGAGTTCATGCATTATCTTGGGGAGAGAGAGAGAGCAGCAGTTGCTAAACTGGGAGAGAAAACCACTTTATTTCTTGTTCCACCATCAGATTTCTCTGAAAAAGTCTTGAAGGTACCAGGAAAAATGAGCATTTCAGGAGTAATATTAAAATTCGACCACACCTCTTCCAATTTTGGTCCTCAGGATGCCTTGGAAGCCATGAACTCAAAGTTACTTCCTTTTGTGCATGGAGATGGACTAGCAATAGGGGAGGATACATCTTATCACAGGCCTCGTTCCCCTGAAGCACTTGCATCTTATATGGGTCGAAATAAAAGCAATTTATATACAGAGCCTCAGCATTCTTCAAGTTCTTTTCCCTCGTTGCACATGCCAGAGGGACTAAGTGGTTCGTATAATCCAGGGCATGCACCTGGGTCCTTCTCACTTAGTACCAAAAGGACATTTGAAAATTTCAGTGAAGATAGATATGATCCACTTCCACACCAGAGCCATACACAGTTATCTAGTTGGTCTTCACGCCAAATGCAAAACTCAAGCCCTAGAAACAGTAAGCCTTTTTTGTTTTGTTTTTTTTTGTTGCCATAAACAATAACCTTATATTGCAATTCAAATGTTTTTTGTTTGTTTTTTTGTTTTCCTTTTTCTTTTTTCTTTTTTTTTTCAGTATTCTGACCCAAGGTTCCAAAACCTTTTGAATTTTGGTGTGTTTTCTCCCATATTCCCCAAGCTTGAAATGACTCTGGACCAAAGTTATCTTAAAAATCCCAAAAAAGAAAATAAAAAGTTACTTTCCTCATTGAGTCCCCAGAAAATGCCTTGCTTGTTCAAAAGGGAATCTTGAGAAAAATTCATCCAATTTTGCTGCATTTCTAATTCAAAATTCTGATTAGCCTTAAGATAATTTATGATTAAAAAAAAAGAGAATGATAATGCTGAAACTAACTTCTCAAGAAAAAAAGATAAAAATGGAATGATAATATGCTAAAACTAACTTCTCAAGAAAAAAATATAAAAATTACGAGTATGCTTTTTTCAGTTAATGAGGAACATCTTCGACAACCAGCAGTGGTCGATGGAAATACAAGCTCAAGCCATTACATACCTGCAACTCCTTCCACATCTTTAGCTGGCAGCAATGCAATGTCTCAACAAGAAATGAAGCTTCCACAACCCTCGTCAACTTCCACATTGCCGTTGCAGCCTGGGCAGATAGCTCAACTAGCCTCACTCCTTGCTCAACAAAACCCATCTGGGCACTTACCAAATATCTCAACACAAGATAATAGAAGCCCCAAAGATTCATTTAAGCTCTCTGAGGAAAAGAAGCCTAGTGGTCTCCAAACTTACGGTTATGCATCTTCTCAGTCTTTGGATTCGCAGTTTGGGAATTTGAAGCAACAGGCACCAAAGGCACCCTTATTGTCGAATACAGAGACTCAAAATCAGAGCTCAGATCCTCAGTCTCAGAGCACAGATAAAGAAGATATGGATGGAGATCCACAGAAGCGCCTTCAGGCTACGTTGCAGCTTGCTGCTGCTCTTCTTCAGCAGATACAGCAACAAGCAAAGGGAGCTTGATCAGATCTAGTTCTTTTGAAGAGCGTATCTTTGTTAGAAGGTATGGACATTGTATTCCCATCTGCCCTTTGATTATGCAAAATAATTCAATGGTTTCTTTTTCCTTTTCTCTATCTTCTACATGTATCTGGCCGCTAAGCCACTAATATATTTCTTGATGTGCCCCTTTCTCATTAGTTATGCTGTATTCTAGTACCTGAGCGAAAACCTTAACCTTAGACCAGTCATTATTTGTGTAGAGCTGACATTTAGTGGTCATTTAGTGTTGCCATATGGTACTTGACATAGTATCTCCCAATTTGAGTTATAAAAAGTACCCATGTTTTTAGTTATAGAAAGAACTCAGTTTGAATTTTAAAAAGAACTCTGTTATTGTTCTGTAAAAGAAACCCATATTTGAGTTGTATAAGGAACCCATGTTTCAGTTGTAAACAGAACCCAATTTCAACTGTGAAAAAGTGCCTTACATGTGACACATTTTCCCAATTGATTGGACTAGGTGATACTTTTGATACATTTTCTTATTACGGACTGAAACTTGAGTGTTTATTTTCTGTTTACTGTGATGAATTTCTGAGATTCCTACTGAGACATTTTCTTTTTCCTTTTATTGAATTGATCTGCAGTGCCTGATTCGGTGTACCTTTTGGGGAATAAACCACGGTGGCGCTGAGAGATCTTTGTTTCTTTCTATTGAGGAAATATGCACAATGTAGTCTGCCATTGCAGCAGCAATGACTGTTTTTTTGACATGGTGGATTTGGCATTTTCAATATAAATCCCACTTTTGGTTATGGATGGGGTTTTGGTGTGTCAGCTGATGCACCTATCAAGTGCGGTCTCGCAAAAATCTTAGAGGTGGATCTGGGATCCAGAATTTACAGTTTGATAGTCTCTACAATCATGAATCTGAAAAAACAAGGGGTTAAAAATAGATTATTCGAAATTTGCTTTTCGACCGTTTGTTTTAATTAGGCAATCTTTCTTTAAGGTTTAAATTTTTTTTTTTTTTTTTCAGATTCATGATCGTGGTTTGAGATCATTGACCTTGAAATATAAGATCCAAAATTCATCTCTGAGACAGATTTTCGGAAGGGGAATATGTTTCAATACGACCACACTTTTCCCGTAGCAGAAATATTTTTTTAAGGCTTAAATTTCATTTTTTTTTCTCAGATTCAAGATCATGGTTTGAGATTATTGACCTTTGAAATATAAGATCCAAAATCCATCTCTGAGACAGATTTTTGGAAGAGGAGTGCATTGCAATAGGACCACATTTCTACTTTCCCTGTAGCTTGGAGGAAACCAATTCGTCTCCTCCTTCAGTTAGAGCAGCATCATTTTTTTTCTGCTGGGAAGCCACTCTTTATGAATTCCTATTTGGAAAGTGAAAGTATACCATAATCAGTGGGTATGGTATACGGTACTTCCAAGTGGCATCCACCTTCCGTTTTCAATGATGGATGGTAGATATTAACTGTAGCAGACCTATCATGGGTTAGATTCAACTGTCCATCATCAGGAACAACAGTGAACACCCCCATTGGATTTGTTCAGTGCATATCACATTGAACTGTGATATTTCCCTTGTGTCAATTCCAGTTTCTGTTGTGTTGTACACTATTTTGAGTCCAGGTTTAAATGTTGGTTATTGAGAAAAGACGAGAATCAGCCATGACACTTGATCCTGTTCTAGATCAGCCATTTTTAAAACCAAGGTGTGTGTGTCTCTCTCTCCAAGAACAGGCCCAAGCCTGACCAGGCTCAGTTCAGTTCTTAGGCAGGGCTGGGTTGGGCTCAGGCTTCGATGATATGGTTTGGCTGGGGCCAGGCCACAAGTGGTTTGTTTTCGGGTCTGAGTATCGCAGCCCTATTCATTGTGCATATTTACACAAAATAGATCTACAAACACATCATTTGGAAGGATGTGGTTTTGGAAATCCTAATTTTCCATTTTACATGTTCAAATCTTAAAAGAATTGATGGGAGTGTTAATTACTGAGGGGACGTTACTGAGCATTTCTACCTTTAATTAGTAGTGGTCAACCTCATCTTTATTTAATGAATTTAGTGGTGTTTTATGTATTTTAATTTTCTAGCCAGATGCCTCCTAGTAATTCCCCTCGGATCGTGTATCCTTAACTTCTTTTATTAAGCATAAATAAACCGTAAGAATATATTGTTCTCGACAAATATTATATGCATAAATATCCAGCCAAAAGATTTTCTGCTTCTGCAGGAACATATTCTCCATTTACTCCCCTTGGGCCCTTGGACAAAACCCATTCTAGGTGTGATTTTGGGGCCCCCATACATTGAGGATGTAACATCTTCAACCGTTTGACTAAATAACAAAATTTCAAATTGCACTCTCTAATGAACTCAAAAAACATAATGCCTAAACGTTGACCATCTAATATTTTGAGGGTGAGATCTGAGTAGTAAAAAAACTTCAAATTCAAATTCTCTTTTGAAAAAAAATAACCATTATATGGTTTTTTCAAATTTAAATTCTCTCGAGCGTTTCCACAATTTCAAATTGGAAAAGTCCTCTAAATTGGTCATTTGCCTGAGGGTGGGTGCATGGGGTACTCCCGCTGGAGCATGGTTAACATCAGTTTCCTCTCCACTTCCATTTCTGTTACTTATATTCGGATATCGAGAGCCATCGAGCCAAGCTTATTCATTGAAGAAATTACACATGGAAACAAGTTATACAAAGGAACAAAAGAATATTATAGGCGACACAGGCTAATGGCCATTGTATGATCTATAAGTTGAAGTGGTTCTTTGAGGAAAGAGGCTTGGAGCTTCAACGAAATTCAAACATAGAAATAGGATGATGGATCACTCGTATTTTGCGTGTCTTTACAGAGAATAGAGCGTGCTTGGATGACACTGCGTGGAGGCTCAAGGTCCTTCTCTTGCAGAGCATTACCTTGCAGCCTCTGCATCTGAGAGGCAAATGTATCATCCAAAATCTACATGTGTCAATACAAAAGGCAGTAGATCAGTAAATTTGAGAAGCCATAGGCAACATCCTTTACCAGAAAAACCCCTAATCCCTGTTATGTAGAGTGAACATCCTGGTTCCCATCCTATAGATAGTTGCACATATATTTGCTTTAAATAATGGAATGTGGAAAAAACTCTGATCCCTCCCATCTTGTATGAGCATAAAAAATGTAATTCCAGAAAACTCCAATCCCCATCACATCATAACACAAATTTGTTGTAATAATGGCAAATTAATTAGCCCCCACCCGAACATGACTGGAAATGTTTCAATAATGTCAACCTTTCTAAAAAAAAAAAAAAATTCAATAATGCAGCTCAATTAGACTGATTTTGAGCTCTTCAAAAAAAAAGAAAGATTAGACTGATTTTGATAGGAAGACGTACCCCAAGGGCATAACAAGATCCCTTGTACCGGATTCGATTCTCTTTCCTGCTCTCAAGGAAGCTCAATACTCTCTGTGGAGCTCACAAAATCAAACATGGTTAGAGATAATATTTCATAGAGATTAAAAGCAAGGTAACAATAGAAAATGGAAGGAGCAATACAAGTAGACTATTAAAAACAAGTATTACCTGTCCCATCCTATCCCAAAACCCACGGCATATGGCTACAAAAAGGCGACCTGAGAAGACATCATGCAAGTTCCGTATTGTATCCATGAGCTGAGAGCACAACAGATGCATCCTCTCTCGAATCTCGGCTTCACCCTCCGTCTCTTTTGTTGCCTCAAGTATTCTCTTGAGTTGTGTGGTTCGGGTAGCTTCTGTCTGCAAATAGTCATCATTATCATATTAAAAAAAAAAAAAAATTATTTTGTTGTGTAATGCATGTGTATAGAATGAGTTTCCCATATGTAAGGGCCCCCGCCCTCCTTGATGCTTAAGAAGATTATTAAGGCCACAGTTTCAAGTCAGGGTTTTAGTACTTGAGGTTTAGATAGTGATTAAAAATGACTGGTGCAATAAGGCCGCCACAGAAGTGCCATCACAAATAAAGCTTTGGGAAAGTAAACTATAATCAAATGGGGGGTGTGGAGAACCAGACTCCATTGCAGACACAATAGTCCTGTGAAATTAATGATGACAAGGCAGAAAGCATGGGGACCAACCATAATATGAATTATTGTCGTCCTCTCTCTCTCTCTCTCTCTCTCGTCGTCCATTTCATTGGATGGGGATGACTTCCACGGGATACCAGAGTTCATTGTGGTCATGATCATCCTATGAACTTGAAAGTGTGGTCATGTCAAATTCTTGTGGGTCCCCGTCTCTCTTTATCACCATCTATTTCATTGGATAGTGATGACACTAGTGGGACCAGGCTCCTTTGTGGTCATGATCATCGAATGAAATTGCTAATGATGAAGAGGGTGGACTGATTGTACGGGTCATGTCCAATTCTTGTGGTCCCTCTCTCTCTATCATCATCCATTTCATTGATGGTGTGATTCCCAATGGTTGCAGGGACAATATATACTTTTCAATAATTTTTGCAAAGAGAATTGGCATAAGGAAAACAGAGTAACCCACGTTGCTGACAAGCTTTTCCACTGTGGCTTGCAAATAATTTTTGTATTTTGTTCTCAGCATGACAGTGACTCCATTGAGTTGCTCCCCAAAGGCCGCCTTTTTATCTCCAGTAGCAGGCAGATATGAAGCCCAAGATCTAAGCACGCTCTCAACTTTACAATGCAGCAATTCTAATATTCTCTTTACCGTATTCAGGAAAGTACCTAACTGCACAAAATGGGTTGCAACCAAATTCAGCATCTCCCCCTCCTCTTTCATCAAAAAGAAAATTTGCCTTCGTATTTCCATTTTGAGTAAATATTTAGTAATACCTTGACACTGAAGAACAGAAAGTATAGAGAACAAGAAAAGTGTGGATTAAGAAATAGATTTTTCAAACAAAAACTCACTTGGTTGGGAACAATATAAAGAGCTACTGAGTGGCGTCTTGTTAGTTTCTGCATCTGCATGCCAAGCTTTTTTGGGATGGTGTCTTTCAAAGGAGCCAAAATATCACAACACTGTTTCTCCAGTGCTTTCATCACTGCTCTCTCTACATCAGCAACAGCCTTAAAGAAAACATATTCTTGCTGATCATTAATATAATCAAATAATGAAAGCATACCGTAATCCAGCGTACTATGAGAAAACCATTATCTAATGAAGTGATGACTGGAGAGAGTGTGGGATCCATCAGAAATAGGACATAGCCCTAATCATGGGCCCCACTCTCTCTTCACCACCATCTGTCACCTCATTGGACAATGATGACCCCAAAGGACTGTGGCCTTTGTACAAACCTCAGATTATACTTTATACTTTTACAATAAAATATTCGGCCCAATATGGAATTATTGAAAAGCTCATAAGAAAACAAAAAGGTAAGTCAGCAGGGATTTGGGTCCCTACTTTTTGGCTAAAACGGAGTCAGAGACTTCATCATAGGGCTCATTGGTACTACCGCCAAGGCCCCAGCCCATTCTCATTAAGAAGTTCATAATCTACCATATAATAATAGTAAATCACCCACATAAATAGGTTACTTACATTCTCTAAAACAAGAGAGTAATGAGGCCATCTGTTGATTACTACTTCATATTCGTTAAGAGTGTCCCTGATGAGCTCATACATCTCCTCGACAAATGGGGATGTGGAATGCTGGGTTGTAATTCCGGTCAATGGGCCCTACACATGGTAGCATTTCGTTAACATGACTAGCAATAGCAGAAGACAATTGATCTGAATTCAGATTTTCAATATTTCAACTGTTTTTTCCTTATAAATGGCAACAATATCTTTCTTACAAATAAATTTTGGCTGGATTTCTCTACCGGGGTACAATATTCCCCAAAATTCATTGTATGCGCAATTGTGCAGATGTGCGCATGCATGTGTGAGTGTGACTTAGAATGCACAGAAGGTTAAAAAGGAATGTACCTTATCTGCTTTGCATTGCTCAAGCAAGTGATTTTTTTTATCCATAATCCACAGCATAATGTATGAATGAAACAAATTCTTTGAGTCGACACCTCCAGCCACTGAACTGAAAAAGAGGAAAAAAGTTAGAGATCATATATGATTATACGGTTCCATTGGGATTAACAAAAACTGTTTCCTTTTTTTGATAAATGAAAATTCCATTAATAAACAAAGCGAACACATAAAAAACCTTGATGATAACAAATTTCAACTTAGTTGTAATGACTAATGTCATTGAAGTGGAAAGGTAAATAAAAAAGCATTTTGTGGCCAAATTTGTTTACACATACCCAATGCTCCAAGCTGAGAGATCTCGTTCAAAATCTGCAGTTGCAATGAGCAGCTCAGTTACGTGAGGGGAGGGGCTTGAAGGAGGGCAAGCCTCCAAAAACCTTTCAAGTTTGTTGCATAGCTCTGTGCTGTAAACAGAAGCAGCTATGTTTGGCAAATCGATGAAGCTGCAATGAATGGCAATGACAATGGAGAATTAAAATACATAAGAGGAACAAATCTACATAGCTGTACCAACCCAACTAGATGCTTAACCAACACCCATAATTTGCCTAAATAAAAGGGAATTAAAATCCAAAACGGGAATTCTTTGTAAAGTAAATTTAAGTTTAGCATCTAGAAGCAAGCATCCTTAAAACCTCAGTTATGAGGATTGGTTTTCTGCTTACATAATGTTATAAACACATAGAACTCAAGGTTAAGGATTTATGCATGAGAATCAAGGTTCACACTTGTCAAAGGAAAAAATATTAATGATACTGTAACTATTAAAGAAACAGGTTTGTAATACTATAAATGAAAAATATCACTTATCGAAATCTAGCCAAAAATAATAAGAAGCCTGAATACACATCCAGCACACTTATAAAGTAAAATCAAATTGTGCTTCTTGGAGCTACTACCCATAAGATTTCAAACCATAGGCACCAGCATTTTGCACAGTAAAACTTGCTAACATTCTTTTCCCTTCTTTCTTTTTAAGCTAACCTGGCCTCGAACACCCAACTTTGAGTTTGTAACAATAAATACAATAAAAGCTGTCTAGAGGATTCAGGGTTTTAGTTCCTTAGAAATCATAACTTATTGTTTTGGGGCGTATGCATAAGAGCTGGGTCATAAAAAAATTGTGGTGGTAAAAATATCAGGGTATCACCCATCAATCAAAACAATAAAGAAATGAATATACCTGGGTAGTATATGCTGATTGTGAATTTTAATATCTGCCTGAATCTCATTGCTGATATTGATACACAAGTTTTTCATCTTGAGGTAGGCTGACGAAATAGTTAGAGGGTCCATCAGGAAGCCATCAGTATTGCAGGACATAAGCTCATCAGTTTCCAACATATGACGCTTACATCTCTTCCTAGCAGCTGTCTGGAAATTTCATTAGACCTATAGTTAATCTGTTGCTCTAATGTATTACTGCAGTGGGCACTACAAAGCATAACCTAGTTTACCCTAATCAGTGATCAGAAGGAGTATATAAATAAAGAGTGCACGGAGGTGCAAGACTTTGGAGAACTGATTAGCATTCTTTAACATCTTATTTTCTAACGGAAAATAAGGAAAATTTGACCCAGAAATGTTCCTCAAAAGTACGAGGACTACTGGATCATACTGGACCCTGACTTTAAGCATGTTTGTACTAGGATAGTTCCAAGATAGGTGGCCATCAGAGGTTCTTGAGCAGCACCGCTTCTTAACAATCAAAAAGTAAAGAAGGACTAGGTTTTATCATGATTTCACAGTGAAGGGAAAGTATACTATTATCTAATGACCCAGGCTACATAGCCCACTGAGGTTATCACAATCCAATAAGATACAAAGCGATGGACATAGTGGGAGCAATCAGAATAGGATATGAACCCAATATCATCTCTCTTTATCGCCATCCATCATTTCCTTCGATGTTGATGACCCCATGGGACTATGAGCATAGCTTAGGCCATTGGATAATAGCTTAGGTCGTCATGGGACCATGAGAATGGCCTAGGTCATTGGTTGATAGTTCCAAGATAGGTGGACATCTGAGAGGTTATTGAGCAGCACCTATTCTTAACAATCAAAAAGCAAAGGAGGAAAGTATACTATTATCATGACTTCCAGAGAAAGGGAAAGTATACTATTATCTAATGACCTTAGCTATACTCATAGTCCACTGAGGTCATCACCATTCAATAAGATAGAAAGCGATGGTCACAGTGGGAGAGATCATACCAGGACATGAACCCAATGTCATCTCTTGTTCATCATTTCCTTGGATGGTGTTAACCTCATGGGACTATGAGCATACCTTAGGTCATTGGATAATAGTAATGTTTCCATCAAGAGAATGCTGCTCTTCCTTGACATAAAATATGCCATACCTGCAAATAATTTCTCAAAATCATCTGTGCTTCATGTGAAAGGATATCACTAAGAAGAGTGTATATCTGCACAGCAGGGGCTAATGCAGGTGCAGCTGAGTCTGAAGTTGGGGCGAGCATATCCACCAGTCCAGTAGGAGAGAGCTCATCCAGTGATTTATAATTTTCGAAAACTGCAGCCAAGAGACGCCCCACTTGATCTTCACAGTCCGATAGGATCCTTTTCTGCACAAGATAAAACATTACTTCAAGCAATTATTCCAGAAATAGTTTCAGGTCTTCTACCAATTATTGAATACAAAAAGGAAGCACATGCAGTACAGAGCAGGAACAAACTGTACCATCATGTCTGGTTTGAAGTTTAAAAATACTTTTCCAATAAATGCTTTATTTTAAAAGGTATAGCCACAAAGTTTGGATCTGGCAGTATGCAACATAGATGCAGCTACAAGAACCAATGCGAGGAGAGTGTTCCCAATTAAATTCTAACATGTTTAATGTGGAAATGTAGTTCACCTCTTGCCGAGTCAGATTGTTCTCATCTCGAGCCTTTATTACAGGTGTAAGCAACTCATGCACGAGATCCAAACAATCTTTTGTTGGTGTGGCCACATCCATGACATATGAAAGATATCTGTAACCAAACACATAGATGCAAGCACATAATCACGACTCAAGAAATCTTGCATGAGAAGTGGAAAAATATCAAGATAACAACAATGCAAGATTATGTGTGGTTTATAGTGCGAAATAAGATACTTATTTCGATAAATGGAAGTACCTGAGCTTAGTGTATGCATCAGAAATTCCATAATAATCAGAAAATTCGGCTAATAACCATTGCCATACTCCATGTAAGCGCAGGTTTCGTGAATGAAAATATTGGGAACGCATAGCAGCCTCCAGTACCAAATCATATGCTAGAGTCTCCACAACAGTGCCACACTAGCAGAAAGGTCCAAATACAAAGAATCAAACTTAGTTGTCGACAAAGCGGAAGAGTGTATGCAACTATTACATTTCCATATTTGAATGAAGAAGTCATGCTAAATTTTTACCTTTCAAGTGCAATGCAAATTATTCCAGAAAAAAAGGTAAATTTCTTTAATCATCATGGTATCTGCATGGCCATTCAGATAACCAAGACAAACTAGCATGAACATTCTAATTATTACGTAATGGTCACTAGTTGCACAATTATTTCAGCATATAGCATGAATTGTTCAGAACCAAGTAGATGTTGCACGATATGTTCATCCTTTAAATTACACTATTATTGTTTTTGACATTTACTTGGCCTTGGAGGTGGCAGACATGAAATATCTAAGGGTTGTAAAGCAAGATGCATACCAGAAACTGGACCATCTTTAAAGAAGTTAATACTATCCAATTTAAATGATGCCCTAAAAAAAGAAAAAGAAGAAAGAAACAGCTATATTTTAAATCCAACAAAAGAAAAGATCTATACCTTGATGGAGCTTAATTCTCCAGAGGTACTTGTAGTACTATCCAATTTAAATGATGCCCTAAAAAAAGAAAAAGAAGAAAGAAACAGCTATATTTTAAATCCAACAAAAGAAAAGATCTATACCTTGATGGAGCTTAATTCTCCAGAGGTACTTGTAGTGCTTATGGATAGTTGAACTTTCCCCACACATTCCTGATCTTCGTGGTATATTGGCCACCAACGTATTCTATCATTCTGCTTCATTTTTAATGAGTTACTAAACATGATCGACATCCAAAAGCAATAAATAATTTGGAGCCAAATACTTCTTTAGAAGTGATGTTCCTCCTCAGTATGATAATTCTTTGCAAAATTCTAATCAAAATATGTTGCACCCTTGCTCTTACTTAAATGTAACATACCGGGTTATCAGTCAAAGAAGAAACTTGAATTGTTGCTCGACCTTGAGTATTTTCCTTAGAATCCTGAACCAATAACAAAAGAGAATCTCCCTGACTCTCTGGAAAACTGAAAAATATGCATGTTAGGTACTTCACTGCAACATTCTTTATGGAAATCAGGCAACAATAGCATTGACCTACTAATTGACGAGAGAAAAGAACCCTTACAAGACATGAGGTACACCGGATCCAGGTTGCATGCAAATAGCAGCACCTCGCTCTAGTTGTGCATCTTCATTTGAATTTTTCAATTGGATGAAGCATGACAGTACTTCTGGAAATAGAAAGTATATATCAATGAGAAAAATTATCTTACATTATACATATCATAAACGTTAAACAGTACAACAATTACGAACAAATCGAACCTTGTTGTGATGTCACTGGAAATCCCATTCGGGAAGATGCTGTCTTTATTGAGCTAACGCCCGATTTTAGTAATGCTGAAACATGTCTAACATAGTGTGCACCTGCTTGCATATATGCTGCACCCAACTGTGAATATGTGGCATGGAGTTTTCGACGAGGTATAATGCGGATCTTTTTCACTGCCATTTATACATCAAAGAATTAATGCCATGTAAGAAAGATGTTCCTAAAGATTTTGGAAAAATATTCTAAATCCATAAGATTACCCATGCACACAAAACCATTAAAAGGAATCGAGCTTAGTCTTGTTTCTCATATATGTGATTATCAGAAGGCTGACAACTTCTAATAAAACTACGCTTTACAAAATACATATTTGTTTAATATCATTATTGGAATCAATAATGTCATAATTTACCTTCCACGTTGATCTTTCCAATAACTTTCTTGGACTTCACTGAACATTCTTTTACAGAGTCAGCTGTCGCCCCTTGCCATGGGATTCCATGTTGAGGTTGCAACAGGAATTTGTGCAACCTATAAAATAAAATCCAGTACTTTGTATCTTTAGCGTTCACAAGCAAAGTTTAAGAAAAAGAACCACTAGAATCAATCACAATGCATAAGAATAATACAGCACAATTTGGTGTTTATCAGGAAAGGCAATAAAGGTGGGCGCCGCTATACGAGAAACAAATATCACATTTTGGAGTTCAGCAGTCAAATATATAAACATCAGAACTTGCATGACTTAATTATAAGGAATAAGTAAACAAAAAGAACTTGAAAATAAATAGATGCATCTGTAAATATTATTGGAACCTGAGTTGGTGGAAGGGGTATCTCAAGACATCAATGGGTTGTCGGAACTCAAGAACCCAGCCCCCCATATATGTTATGAGGAAGTTTCCTTGAAAATTTGTGCAATTCTAGTCAATAAATTCTGTTCAAAAACAGAAAAACTCCAACCATCTATGTCACTTGGGGTCTCATCTGAAAATGGTATAGCACACACTTCAGACCTAATAGCCAATCGGGTTTCAACAGCTTTCCCCAGTGCTGTGAATGTGATAGCCATCGAGGCATAATAAGCTACAGTACTGTGTATGTGGTATTTTTTTTTTTTTTGTATATTTAAGGTGTAAGTGGTATCAGTATATTAAGATGTAAAGAGACCATGAAGCATTCAAGTTGTGATCTTTGCCACTAAAGTTGGAATTGATATCCAGAAGGCACAAGACGACTATATCCTTGATTTTGTACCTTTTAATTAGAAAAAAACATTAGAAGTCCAACACTATGAACATACCCAAATGCATTTCGCAGCGCCATGCACTCATCTCTTAGGAATTCAGGAGCCTCCATGCAGCCTCTAGCCCATGCATGTAGACATAAACGAATACATGCATCATATGCTACAAAGAATTGCCAAGCACTCTGACCACTGAAACGTAGAGACAAGCCAAAAAAGAGAGAAAAAGGAAAAAGAAAACAAAAGAAAAAAATTGGGTCAAGTACTTGAAAAGAATCACAAAAAAATCAGACTGTAAGGACAATTGGAAATCAAATGCTTCATTGCAAAGTTCATACCCAATATCATGATATGCAGGTTGGTCCATTGAACTGGGTTGCCGGCATGGCATTTGTGTTTCAACTTCTCCAGGAATATATCTGCAATGGAGCTCACCATACTATAAGAAATAACCAAGTAAGTTTTTTTTAAGGGTGTGGTTTGCATAAGGCCCCAAACTTAAACAATCAAAGTAAAGCGGAGCTCCAACATGTGCGAAAAGATGCAGTTTTGGCGCCAAAAAACCCTTCCATGGCCTGAAAATCTATTTTCACCCCAAAGTACGAAATATGAGGCTCCAAAAGTGGTGTGGATCGAGCAGGTTGATACTCTATAAACTCTTGAAAATATTAAAAATGGAAAGTTCATTAATGCATCATAAGACAAATAATTTTATTACTTGAAAATCCTTTTCTCTTCATATTCACATCTTGAGGTCGAAATGATTAATTGGAGGGTTTTCTAACATAGGAACAACCTTTCCAATTAGGGTTTTGGTTTGCATAAGGCGCCAACATTAAAATGTGCCAAAAGATGCAGTTTTGGTGCTAGAAAACCCAGCTATAGCCTGAAAATCTATTTTCACCCCTAATTACAAAAATATGAAGCTCCAAAAATTGTGAAGAACAAGCAGGTATATAAACTCTTGAGAGTCTTAGAAATGGACAGTCCATTAATGTGTCATAAGATGAATAATTTTTATTACTATGAAATCCTTTTCTCTTCATATCCAACATAGGAACAACCTTTCCAATTAGGTTTTTGGTTTGCATAAGGCGCCAACATTAAAATGTGCCAAAAGATGCAGTTTTCGTGCTAGAAAACCCAGCTATAGCCTGAAAATCTATTTTCACCCCTAATTACAAAATATGAAGCTCCAAAAATGGTGAAGAACAAGCAGGTATATTAACTCTTGAAAATCTTAGAAATGGACAGTCCAATAATGTGTCATAAGATGAATAATTTTTACTACTATGAAATCCATACATCTCGAGGTCAAGGTGATCAGATGGAGGGTTTTCCAGCATTGCAACAACCTTTCCTTGTAGGTTTTTGAGGTGCCCTTTTCTCTATAGAATGAAGTTGATACATTACATAAACTTTTTTTTTTAAATGGTAAAAACTATCACCTCTATGCTGACTTGCAAAAAGATTTTATGGCACTTTTTGTTGATAGAAACAGTATGAATTACCTTGGACATGGTTCATTTGCTGCATGTGACTGAGCACCAAGATCTGTTAAACATTCCTTACTATCGCAAGAGAGATTCGTTTCATCTTGTGCATGAAGCTCATTGTATACATTTTTCGTTTCTGATATAACACGTGCTCCTGGCAATGTGGTCGCTTCCATCTCAAAGCTCTGAGATCCAGTTCTTGAATCAACCATAGGAGGTGCACTAGGATTTCCTGCTTCTGATAATGTTTTGGGCTTAAGATCTCTCTTAAGGAAGTCCTGAAATCAAAATGGAGTTGGCTTTGAATAGAATATCTTAATCATAAAAAATTGAGATCACACTCAATTATCTCAGCTCAGAAGGATGATATCCAGTGCTTATGTCAAAGAATTTCTGCTGGAATTATTTATCTTATGGAAGATACTGAATATGGAAGGCTGAGTTCAAAATCTATTATCACATGGAAAAAATATAGCTATTTCTTTTATTGTTTTATTTTCTTTTTGACGCACAAGTAAACAAACCAGTATGTACAATAATAAGAGGGCAGAGAGAGAGAAAGAGAGAGAGAGAGAGAGAGAGAGAGAGAGAGAGAGACGAAGAGAGACATAATGACTATTATTTAACAACAGTAGGAAAGTACAACCTAACCGAACGAACGGAACTAAAACTTAAAGTTTTACGGTAGACGAAAGAAAA